GTGGGGAAATCCTGTCCGATGAGGCCTTGTGCCGCCCGAACACCAGGAGGGCCCCAGTGAGAAACACTCAGGGCCAGGAAGGGGACGAAAGTCATTCACGATAAAGAGGGCTTGGGATAAAGGGGGAATTCGCCCACAAACTCTGGGGTTACCAGGAACAGAGTGGAAGGCACTGGGCAGTGAGAGGCTGTGGCCGGCCGGGATTCGGACAGAGGTGGCTGGGGAGAGGAAATGCCTGTCCCAGTGCATCAGACGTGGATTTCAGGAACGAAGGAGTGGAAAGGAGGGGAGGGTTCCAGGAAAGCCGATCGTGACCATTTGCTGAGCAGGAGAATCAGAAAGGGAAGGACCAGATTCACTGGAGCCCAGAGGGGTCGCCGGGTTCCCGCCGGAATATGGACACGTCCACAGAGGAAGCCTCTGGGGAGGGGGGAATGGCAGGGGGTCCTAATGAAAACAGCTTTGCAGCCTTAATTACAGTGTTCTCCAAGCTCTGACTATGGCTATTCTGCAATTTTAAATATAGCATTGGCTCCTGAGAAGACTCTCAAATCTTTATTTTTACTGACCCAATTGGCTGTTTTGAAAAACCCACTCTGTGAACTCCGTAGTAGGAGATAATCATCAAAATATGTTCCTTGAAGTTCCCAAAGAAAGGCCTTTTATTCAGTTCCTCGAACCTTTCCCCCTTGCTGACTCCGATGGAAGATTGCAGGAAGGCTAAGGAGCGAATTAACCCCACACTTTTGGTCAGCCAAAAGCAAGCTGGAGCCGGCGACCGCAGTGGAGTTAGTAGCAGGGTAACAGGTCCGGGCTCCCGTCCGCCTCCAGAAGGAACCCAGCTCAACCCTGCCGCGTCAGCAGACGCACCTTCAATCAGACCTCCACGTGGCTCTGTGGGAGCTGAGGCTTAAAAAAAAGAAAGGAGTTCCCCTTGTGGCCGTCCTGGTGTTTGGGTTGGATAGTATGACCTTAGGCAGGAGACGAACAGAGGCTCTTTCAAATCTCCAGTGGTTGCCTTGCCACTGCTTTATGAGTCTGAGCTTACAACACTGGCTTTGAAGGCGATTTGATTTTTTTTTTTTAAATTAAGATACTGCCTGTAATTGGGGTAGAGATTGCTGGATGAAGAGTGGGACCTGGCTGTGTCCTTGGTGGGTAATTTGTGGGCCTGGCTTCTCTAGAATGGGGGTGGGGGGGCAGGATGCTCCTTTATGACACTGCCATCTCTCGGGGCCTCTGGAACAGCTGGCGTATAGGTAGGTATTTGCTGCTCGGAGCAGCATGCTGTCCCCAGCTTGTCCTCACCTTTTCCCAAGACAGGGACTCTCCCAACGTCCAGGCATAACCACGTCCTCCCCAGCCTCCTCCCCCAAGCTCACCCCTACCTGTCACAATAGCCTGTATCTGGGATTTAGCAAAATGAAAAAAAAAAGAAAAGAGAGAGACAGAGGGCAACCGAGGCTGTTGGAAACTCAGCCTCTCTTCAGACGCCCGTGGCCTACCACGTGGCGACTCTCTAATTACCCCAGACCCCTGGCCGCCCGTGGCGTTGGAGAATCGGGTGCGCCTTCATTGTCCGCATGTCATAAGCCCTCAGTTCCCCATGGCTAATTTGTGTGTGACTCAGGGGAGGACCTGGGCCTTATTTCGGAGGGTCATAAAAATGCCAGGGGTAGTCTAAGGTAATTAACTGGGACACTAATAGAAGTTCCCCCTGCCAAAAACAAAACAAAACACCACAGGAGAAGCCTTTTAGGTTTGGGGGAGGAATATTATATCCCTCGTTCTAGTTCTGAGAAAGGGAGAGGCAGATCCCGAATTTGGCTGCACCCTCCCCCCAGGCCATCCCTTTTCAGTTCCAGCATCAGGCTTCTGTGTGCTCATTTGAAATCTCTGCTGCGTTAAGCCTTTGCCTCCTCAACGCCTCAGCGCTCCCCAACACACCCTAGCCATGGAGAACTCTAAGAATAAGCCCTATTTAAACTGCATTTTGAGCCATTAATCTTTATTTTTGAACAAAGGTGCACCCTTCATTGAAACAGCAGAAGTTAACCACCAACCAAGGAGGCAAAGGGTCAGCAAAACCCATCTATTTTAAATGCACACCATGTGGTCAGCCCTGCGAGGAGGGAAGATTTCCCGACCTCAAGTAGATGACGAACTGCTGGGAAGCCAGACACGTAAACAGATGGGGGGCCTGGTAGGAAGGACTCTGCCAGCTCCGTGGCGTCCGAGTTCGGTGTAAGCAACTCTGTGTGTGTGTTCTCGCCTCGCTTCTGATTCCTGGACATTCATTTGCAAACCAGTCACTCGCAGGAGGTCACTTTGCCTCTCTGAACCCTTGTAACATGACAGGTGGGTTCTGTGACTTACAAGTTCCCTTCCTCCTCCCGTTGACATAAGAAACATCCAACCTGTAGAGATTTTTATGAGTCTATTTGAGCCAAACTGAGAACAATTCGTGGAAAACAAAATCTCAGTGGATTGAGAAAATGCTCCAGGGGATGTCAGTTTTGCAGCTTATTTTATACATCAGAGTCAAAGGAGGAGACGTCAGGAGGGTTGCATGAAACCCATCGGGGACAGGTGAGGGAGGTGCGAGGAAGCAAAGTGGGGAAACCTTGGCGATTGGCTAAAGAGAGACACATCCTCCTTTTACACTGGAGGGTACAGGATAGTTTACATTTACACAGTTAGAGGGTATTTGCGGAACAAGATAACAATGAAGGGTTCTGTGGTCTCTGCTCCGGTGCTGGCTGTGCTCCGAGAGATGTGGTAAAGGAGGGTTACTTTGACTTTCCAAGTGGATGTGATCTTAGACCATAGATGGGCTCGCTTACAGTAAAGACTGACCTCTGTCAAGGAAGCTACAGGCCTAGGACATGACTACGTGCCGTGACCTGCTTTTAGTTAGGAATTTTCATGTTCAGACCATCCCCTGTGGTCGCTTCAGGTCTCTGAGTTTGTAAGTCCGCCAAGCAGACCTCCCCTGAGCTTGTCGCATTTAGTGTATGGCCCCCTTTTCGTCCACACTCCCTATCTCTGAAAACACTTCAGAAAGCCGGGACAGCCAGCACAAAGTCAGATCACCCCAGAAGTCATGGAAGGGGCAGGCACGGAGGTGCAGAGAGGGAGGGACATTCTTTTCCTGTCTCTCTGTCAAGCCTGCTTGGCCCAGGGCAAGGGGGGGGGTACAGGTTCCTGTCTCCCCTAATCAATCATCTCCTAATCAGTCGTAGACTGTGTCCTCAAGCCAAGCTCTTCCCAGTTCTCCGTGTTTGTTCTCCCTCCACCCTCTTGCCGGAACAATCTTGGGGTGATGTGAACATAATGAGCCCGTGCTCGCGAAGGGCTTGGCTTATAAAAGCCTCACAAATGCTTTGGATCGTGTTCTCATTAAAATAAACAAGGCGAAAGTGGGGAGTTGCTGTAGTATTCCAGATAGAGGCAAGTGAGGGGTCCCCAAGGTTCGAGGCTCAGCCCTGGCGCACAGGAAGTCCAAAGGATTAGAAAGAGAAGAGAGATCTTTGGGGGTTAGGGAGGGCTGTGAGTTACGGCGCCGAGATGTCAGCGAAGGAAAGGGGCCAAACACTGGTGAACCCTCCCCAGGAGAGAGCCGAGGCCCACGCGGCGGCTGTCATTTCCCTTCCCGTGGGCCGCTCCGCAAAGCACCGGAACGGGGTCTTTATTACTTCCCGCTTGCTGGTGATTGCCAATGTGGGGGACTCTCGGAGGGAGAGCAAGGTTATGACAAAGCCGTGTGCTTTTCGGGGGGTGTTTGCTGAAGGTGGGTGTCGGCTGTGCTTGATTTAAGTCTTCCCAGATTCGCTGCAAAGGTTATAAACAGTGAAGTGATGAAATGAGCGCTGGAGCCAGCACTGGGAGGAGGCCTGGTCACGAGGGAGGGCCGAGAAGCAGCACCAAGGGGTGGGGAGAAACGAGGAACACGCCCGGGAGGCCTGGAAGGCATTTCTGCTCCAACGAGTGGAAGGAACGTGTCCCCAAGGGGGCCTGAGTCGGCGGTGAGTCCGATAGGCCGATGCAGCGTCGTCTCGGCTGAGACCCTCGGGGATGTGAGGGCCCGAGGGGTGGGGCAGACAGACTCAGAGGCACCCAGGAATCCTGGTAGGCCCACCTGCGGGCCCGGGTTACGGGGAAGGCGCAGTGGTCCTGGTAACCTCCCAGGCAAACTTACCCTGAAACTGCTGGCAGATTGACAGTGGGATGGGGTAGCTGCCTAGGACGCAACACAGGTCCAAAAAGGTTGATTTCTCAGAATACATGTACAGGGGTGGACAAAAGTAGGTTAACAGTTGTAATGCAAATAAATAATACACTAATTAGAGTGGCACGGGGGGCAGCTGGACCGAAGACCCCAACATAAATCCCCAACCCTAGAAGGCGCTGCCCCAGGCCCCGCCATACTGCATTGCCCTAAGACAGCCTGGGTTTTTGGGGGGGTCTACTCTTTTCTAATTGGTCAGTCTTCCCACCGACTGGTCAGCACCCATAACTGTGATGGGAGATTTTGAGTCTCAGCCCAGCCAGTCTGCTCCTTGAAAAAAGGGGAGCAAGGGCAGAGGCTAGGGGAAAATGCGCCTGCTGCGGTCCCCGCGTGTCAGGGAGCGGAAGGACACTGAGCTGGACTGAGCGGCTGGCTCTTACTACTTTTCACGCCCCAGAAGGCGGTTGCGCAAGGTGCTCGTGGAGCAGGCAACTGAACTGGCCTGTGTGTCTGCACTGGTGGGAGGTCGTGGCATCTTGTTACCCGATGTGCTGGGACATCCCAGATCCTCGGCCACTTTGATTCTTTCCTTTGTTCCTGTTTTCTCTGCTTGCTCTCAGGTCACCTGGAGCTCAAGTGGACGGACTTGGGCCCAGGGATGGGAGGGGTGGGCACAAAGTGTGGGGACCATTAATGAATGGGGTGGCTGGAGAGGGGCGGGTGTGGCTCAGGGTCCCAGCCTGGCATCTGACGGCGCTTGGCTCCATCACAGTAAGGTCGGCCGGTGGCGACGGAGATGCCTTGTGTGTTTCAGAAGAGGAGCTGGCCGGCGATGAGGACATGCCATCCTTCCCGTGCACGCTGGAGGGTAAGGGCTCTGGGGCTGCCCTCTGACCCCTTCTCTGTGCTCGGAGTCCCTCCTCGCTCCCATCCTCGGGCTGGTCACTTGCCTCTCTATACAGCTTCAAAATCCTGGCTGTCCTGCCCTCTGTTTCCTGGGGTGGGGGTGTGTTTTCAAAGACAGAGGGGCATGGGCCTGCGTTATGCAGTACAGGTGAAATCAGAGTTTGATACAAGTGCTCTCTGTCTCCAGGGATCCTCGTGAGACCCGTCAGGGACCTCTGCCAAGTCCCTCAGGGCCTGTCTTTCAGCTGGCCCAGAACTGTGCCCTGCTAATATATCCCATGCCAGCCAAGTAGCTGGTCCTTCTGAGGCCCACAGGATCCAGCCTGGCATTTGGCTCATCTGAGCTGTTACTTGGAGTCGGGTTTCTTGATGGGTGTCAGTATAGATCGGAGTAGCTGTTCCCAACCTTGGCTGTTGTAAATTGTGATCTCCGGGGATGCCTGAGACCAGCTCTCAGGAATGCTGATGTCCTTCGGTCTGCAGTGTGAATGAAGCATTAGAAATTTTAGACATTCCCGGTACTCCTAATATGCAGCTGAAATTGAACAAACCCTAGAGATTCCACTGGGCATTGGCCACCTGCCGGAGCAGCCAGGAATACCTGGTTCTCCTTCCTCTGCACCAGGCACCACCTGGGGCACTGGAGCCGTTCATTTGGTTTCCATAAGAGTTGTTGGTTACCTGCAAAGTTTGGGGACTGGTGACCAACCTTCTGGTTTGCCTGGGACTGAAGGGGTTGTCCCAGGTGTGTGACTTTCAGTCTGGGCAAACTGTCCTGGTTGCTCCACGTCGAGAAGTGCCCGTGACACGAGACACTCAGTGCTAAAACCAGGAATGTCCTGGGCAAACTGGGACGGGCTGGTCACGCAGGGGTGAAGTGTGTGCTGGTTGCCCACGTTGAGGATCACTGCAAGGCCAGTGTGTCGGGAAGATGTGTTTGCCCCCAGTCCAGGCAGAATGATGATGCCATAGAGTGAGGGAGTGATGGGTGTTCTTGGAAGACCCTGACTCTGGTTTCTTCCATTCCTGAAAGCTGTAGGGCCTAGAGGAAAGGCGGCGAGAGGGGCAAAGACTGAGGCTCTAGAGCGTGAAATGCAATGAGACAGGCCAGAGCAGGGACATGGAACTGGCCTTTCAGCTGCAGCCTCAGCCACTGGCCTAAGACACCGTCCTCCTTTTGCCCCCACACAGGCCAGCCGGGGCCCCGCTGCAGCCGTTGCCAGAAGAACCTGTCTTTGCACACGTCAGTGCGGATTCTGTACCTCTTCCTGGCCCTGCTCTTGGTGGCCGTGGTCGTGCTGGCCTCCCTGGGTGAGTGCAGACTCCCAGCAGCCTCTGGCTGGTCTAGGGCTCCTCCCACCCCTCGCCCTCCTCCACCGTAGGGGATTTCTGGTCAGATCTCCAGCACCAAAGCTCCCCTACGCAGGCGCACAAGATCTCTGCCGCAGGGCCAGAGCCAGGGAGCCTCAATGCCTGGTTTCAGCTGCAACCTGGCTCCTAACTTCTGGTCAGTAATTGGCTGTGTGGCCAAGAGCAAGGCCCTTCCCCTCCCAGGACCTCCGTTTTCCCATTGAGGAAACGAGAGGCTAGGACTAGATCAGTGGTTCCCAGTTTTGGCTCCATGTTAGAATCACCTGGGAGCTTTAAAAAACATGTTGCGTGGGCCCTGCCCAGATAATGGAATTAATTCATATCTTTAAGCTTTCCGAATGATTCTATTATTTATCCAGAGTTGAGGTCACTGGATCAGGCCATTTCTAAGCTCCTTCATGGTCTCAGTGACTTTCTCAAAGCCAGGTTAGATGGCTCCCTGCATCACCATCAAGTCCGCTGTTGCTGCAGTACAGATTCCTGGGCCTCGCGCCGAGTTACCAGCTTGGAGTCCCATGTGCGAAGCCCAGGGATCTGACGTTTGGTGCTTCTGTTACACACTGTTGTTTATCTGAGTGGCAGCCGACGTAGGTGAGGGCATGCAGCTAGATTCCGGGAACTTCAGCCTTCTGGATACTACCAGTTTATGGTAAACTGATGAACCCAAATTCGATGGCTTCTTACTGCAAACCCATGCCATTTGCAGCTTCTGATTTTAAAACTCCAGACTTCTTCACTGAGGGAAGCAGTAAGTTCATTTGCCCTAATGAACTGGACATTGGAGACGAGAGTGGGACTAGAGGGGACAAGCAAGGTGCTCGCACCAGGTGCCGACCCTGTGCTCGTCCAACCCTTGACAGGCAGTGCTTGGTCCAGCCCTGGAACCCAGTGAGTAAGTACTCACTCAAAGTCATCAGTAGGTTCTCGGAAACTGCATATACTGAAACCAGTTCCGCCACAGACTGATTGCTATAAACAAGAATGAAGTTCCTATATTATATTTCCGGTCACAAAAATATCACCACACTTCTAAATAAAGACCCAAGACACTTACAGTACTAAACATTGAAATAAATGTGAGCTATACATACACCTAAGAAAGATGAATAAGACCAGGTAAGATTATTTTCCAACCTGATGACTCCAGTTCAGGGTTGTGGGTGGCCAGGCCTCTCCTCGCAGCCCGGGTGCGTGCAGGGAACCCACCCCAGGGTGCTTCACACACACTCATGCTCAGAATTCCCAGGCTTGCTCAACGGATTACTATTACTAATTAAACCTTGATAGCTCTGACCTGTACAAAGGTAATTAAATCCCAGAGGTTAAAAAAATGATAATAATAGGATTTTGGAGCTGGTAAAAACCTCAGAAATCATTTATGAGTAGCTTCAGACTTTCTTTTTACAGATAATCCAATTGATCATCAGAAAAATTAACGACTTGCCTGAAGTCATCCAACACATTGAGGTGAATCCGGACTAGAAGATGAATCACCCAAATCTCTTAGTGGGGCTAATTCCATCCCCTGACACTTGACCTTCATGGGATCTGTGGGAAATACCTTGTCCACTCTCTGTCCAATCTGTGCCCGTCTGTCACTACGAGGCCCAGCCAGGCACCGGATGAAGAAAGCCAGGGGCCCTGGTGCCGCCCAGATGCGCTCTGCCCCCTGGCCAGTGCTGAGCCCACAGCGGGGGGCCAGGCTGTCCGTGTGGTGGGAACCGGCATAACTTCCAGGAGCGATTAGGCAACACGTACTGACGACTTCAAAAACGTTAACACCCTTTGACATATTCATTCTAACTGCAGCAATTTATCCTAAGGGATAAACCATAGGCACACAACCATCTTATCCAGGGATTACTTCTAGGATCTAGAATTACTCAGATTTCATTTGTAGGCTTAGAGAGGGAGATACCTTAAATGTCCCCAACATTAAGGGACTTTTATAAGTGTTGAATCAATTATACAGAGTGTGTTAACAGATGATAAAAGTAATGATTGTAGCCCTGGCTGGTGTGGCTCAGGGGATTGGGTGCTGGCCTGAGAACCCAAGGTCCTTGGTTAGATTCTGGGTCAGGGCACGTGCCTGGGTTGCAGGCCGGGTCCCCAGTAGGGGGCGTGCAAGAGGCAACCGATTGTTTCTCTCACACATCGATGTTTCTCTCTCTTTCTCCCTCCCTTTCCCTCTTTCTGAAAATAAATAAATGAGATCTTATTTTTAAAAAGCAATGATTTTAAAACAATTTAAATCTTAGTGAGGAAATGTCCATGACATGATACCAATAATGCAAAATGAAAGAAACGAGATATTCAGAATATCCCAATTTCCTGTGTTATGGTTTTCTAAAAATGTATATGTTTATGTAGCTATAGAATAATTGTGGAGATAAATAAGATTATATGAGCTGTACAAAGATGTTGATGGCATTTATCAGTAGTAGGATTAGGAATATTTTTAAAATATTTTTTTCTAATTTTCCCTATTCTATCTTGTGGCCAGGTTCTAGCTCTGAAATCTTGGCAGGAGAGAATTTATATCTATAATTATAGGTTATGCATTATAATATATACATACATATAATATAATACATATATCTGACAGATATATATAGTTAAGGGGGATATATAAACAGATATATATGTGTCATCCTATGGCCATAGGCAGATACAGTTACCTAGATATGTATTTTTAAGAGACTTGTGACCAGCTGGTCATAAGAAGAATTTTCCCTCGCTACCATGGGGAGCCCCCTGGAAGAAGGGAGAATGGCTTTGGTTGCAGAAGGGCTGGTGAAAATGCCTTTCTCTGAGCCAGCGCCCTGCCCCAGTTCCTCATATGTGTTTGCCCTACAGTTTTCAGGAAAGTAGACTCTCTCTCAGAAGACATCTCCTTGGCCCAGGCCATCTATGACAAGAAGCTTGTGTCTGTGCAGGAAAATCTCCAGGGACTTGGTAAGTGTCCAGTGTCCAGATGTGCTGATGACCGTGATGGGGGACTAACGTTACTGAGGAAGGGTGAGGGTCCCCCCCGTGCAGTGTCCCCTCCGTGGCATAGGACCCGGAGCAGGGCAGCTTTCCCCAACCTAGGCGTGAGGAGGGACAGCCACGGCTCCCTGCTCCTTGTCCTGCTGGAGAACCAGCTGCTGGAGGAGGGCAGCTTCCCTGGGGCTGGAGTTCTGTGTACGGTACAGATCCTAGAGCCAGCAGGGAGGGGAGGAAGTCCAAGACAGTTCAGTCCCCCAATATCCCCAGGTACCTGCAATGATTTGTAAGGCCTTCCAAAGCTTCTTGGTAAGCCAGCTCTTTTCCTGTCACTACTTAAAGTGTCCACAATTTGTGTTGCTCTTTATCTCCTGCCCTAATGTGGCATGTTCTCATGCTGACAGTGAGCAGGAAGGAGTCATAATAGAAGGGGTCAGAGGTGGTCCGCAGTCATGGAAAGAGGAAGCCCTGTTCTACCACTGACTCGAGACCCACAGTGATATTTGCCAAGCCAGTTTTCTGTGCCTCATTTCTTATCGGGCACAGCAGAGGAATTCCTGCACCATTTTTCCCCACAAGTTTACTGTGAGACAATAGAATCAGATAACAGTTGTAAAAATATTTGGAGAAATTTTAAAATAAAATGTACATGGGAGGTTCTTGGCAACCTCAGGAAAGTTAGGAAGATGCATTTCCAAGAATTTGGTGGTGAGATGGAGAAAATATCCTAGATCCTACATTGCAGATCATTTGATAAAAAATCATTTTATAGAGATGGCAAGGTTCTTCCAAAAATGATTTCATAGAAGGGCTTAGGAAGAAAAATCGGAAAGCCACTTGCCAATTCATTCTGCTCTGAGACATTGCATTTAAAGAAGCCACCACTGTCCCGTGATCCTTCAGCAACTAAAACGGTATCTCTTTCTCCCAAAGATCTGAAAGCCCCGAACAACTGCTCTTTCTGCCACGACGTCGGGCACCTGGGGCAAGAGATCAGAAAACTGCAGGAGGAGCTGGAGGGAATTCAAAAGATGCTTCTGGCTCAGGAGGTCCAGCTGGACCAGACCTCTCAGACCCATGAACTGCTCTCCACCACCAGCAGTCAAATCACCCAGGAGATGGGCAATTGTTCCTTCTCTGTCCACCAGGTCAATCAGACTCTGGGGCTCTTCCTGACCCAGGTGAGAGGCTGGCAGGCCACCACGGCTGGCCTGGACCTCTCTCTGAAGGACCTCACCCAGGAGTGCTACGACGTCAAGGCTGCAGTGCACCAGATGAACTTCACTGTGGGGCAGACTTCAGAATGGATTCATGGGATTCGCCGGAAGACAGACGAGGAAACCCTGACCCTCCAGAAGATCGTCACCGACTGGCAGAACTATACCCGGCTCTTTGGCAGCCTGCGAACCACCTCCACCAAGACTGGAGAGGTGGTCAAGAACATCCAGGCCGCCCTGGGGACCTCATCCCAGCGCATCAGCCAGAATTCGGAGAGCATGCATGACCTGATGATGCAGGTCATGGGCCTGCAGCTGCAGCTGGATAACATCTCGACCTTCCTGGACGACCACGAGGAGAACATGCATGACCTGCAGTACCACACCCGCTACGCCCAGAACCGCACGGTGGAGAGGTTCGAGACGCTAGAGGGACGCATGGCCTCTCACGAGATCGAGATCGGCACCATCTTCACCAACATCAACGCCACCGACAGCCACGTGCACAGCATGCTCAAGTACCTGGACGACGTGCGGCTGTCCTGCACGCTCGGCTTCCACACCCACGCTGAGGAGCTCTACTACCTGAACAAGTCCGTCTCCCTCATGCTGGGCACCACGGACCTGCTCCGGGAGCGCTTCAGCCTGCTCAGCGCCCGCCTGGACTTCAACGTCCGCAACCTGTCCATGATCGTGGAGGAGATGAAGGCCGTGGATACGCACCATGGAGAAATCCTCCGCAACGTCACCATTGTGCGAGGTGAGAGCGAGACGTGGGCCGGGCCACTGCCGAGCTCCCAGAGGGCCTGGGTCATCTTGCCGGACCCAGAAGTACCCGATTTCAGGCAAAAATCCTAGTGGGTTAATCCAATCCTGTAGCAACTGCCTAGGCAACTGGCAGTATTGACGCACTTGCAAACCTCTTTTGTAAAGGTGTTGTGATCCTGCCTTGGCCTGTCATACATGTCTAGTTTTTCACATATAGATTTGTTTAACTGGTCCACAGAGAGAAAGAGGCAGGCCTTGTCTTTCGGAAACTCCGTCTCCTCTTGCTTTCTCCCTTCCCACCCTCTCACCGGTGCTGTCATCCACCTGCCCTGCGGATGTCCATCATTCTGATGCTACCTTCTCCTGTCTCACCCCTGTGTTAGTCAGAGTTCTCCAGAGAAACATAACCAATAGGACAGAGCATAAGGAATTGGCTTGTAGGATCGTGGAGACCGGCAAGTCCAAAACCTGCCTGGCTGCTGTCCCAGTCTATCTCCAAAGACGGGAAGCCGCTGTGGAACCAGGGAGGGATGATGTCTGAGTGTGGAGACCGCCAGGTCAGGCAGGAGAGTCCTTTGCTGGGGCAGCATCGGCCTTTCGCTCTATTCAGACCTTCGGCTGATCGGACGAGGCCCACCCGCACTGGGAAGAGCCATCTGTTTTACTCAGTATTGATTTAAGTGTTAAACTCGTCCATAAACACCCCTACAGACACACCCAGAATAATGTTTGACCAAGATATCTGGCCACCCCGTGGCCCAGTCAAGTTCACAACTAAAATTAACCATCACAGGTCTACCCCTTCTCAACTTGGCATTCCTACACATGTCCTTAAATCATACTTGGTCCCCAAATGAAGACAGTGACAAGGTCATCATTTCACCTGGTGTACATGACACCAGTCTCTTGTGTACAACCAGAAACACACTAACGAACCCCTCCTCAGGAGGGGAGGTGGAGTAATTCAGTCATGTTCACGCTTCCCCTTTTATAAGTCGCTTATTCTATTACAATTGTCCCGGTTTCATTTTTTCCTTCTGTCCCCTTCCACCCAGCCCACCCCCTCACCCAATTCTTTGCCTTAATATCTCATAACTTAAATACTATGATATAAAGTTAATGATATTTAAATACTGTGATATAAAGTCAGTACACCTTATAATTTATGTTACATGATAAGGGAATAAGAGAGGGAAGAAACAAAGATATTCTGTGTATTACATATATTCCTACATTAATGACACAATAAGGAAGAGATGCTCTTGACAATTACAGCCCTCGTTTCTGCAACTGGTCACGTGTTCGCAGCTGGCGTTTATAACTAACGCTCTTCTTCCACCACCCACCCCATAGTCCCTTTTCTCTCAGCAAGCACCTCGGCCAGTTGCGATTCTAGGGTGACCCAAACCTTCATTCTTGAAGGTGGTCGTAGTTTTCCATTCACCTTAATTGCAGGGCATGGTGCTGCTAAGAGACGTCCTAAGTGGTCTCTGTACCCCAGACACACACCTCCTGTGTGGGGCAGCAGTCCAGCCTCCCCTCGGTGGCCAGGCCCAGTCACCCCAGTCAGCCCAGCAACTTCTTTACCTGTGAGTTCCGAGGCTTGAGGAGCCCAGTGTGCCTGGGTGGCCGTCTCAGCTTCCCATTCAATGGAATCATTGTTGTGTCTCCTGGCAGAAACCTCCCTCCCTTTGGAACCAAGGTCTCTAAGCCAGCAGAGCACAAGGTTGTAGGGAAAGAAGTGAGAATGTTGCCAGCGGCTCACTCGGGAAAGCGGTGCGTGGTACCACTGCCATTTCCACCCCGGCCCCTGGGCCTGTGAGTCTGGCTATAAGAGAAACAGCAACACGGGTTGGACACCAACTCAGCACACACAGCCCTGAAAGTGCCTGCCGCCTAACCGGCGCTGTACCTGAGTCTTCAAAAGGCCGTTCCACTGCCCCCCAGGCCAGCTGCTTTAAGATGGTAGGAAACATGGAAACACCAGAGAGTGCCACAGTCAGGGGCCCGTTGTCACACGACAGCTGCTGTGTGTGAGTTTCTTGATCAGAAGCCGTGCTGCGTGCAGTACCAGGATGGTGGGGAATGCATTCTGTGAGCACAAGGATGCTGCATTCGGCAGGCGCATTGCATGCAGGGAAGGCGTATCCACATGCAGAGTCAGTGCCTCTTCCATTAAGAACAAAACACACCCCCTTCCAGGACGGGAGTCGTCCAACGTAATCAACCTGCCCCCAGGAAGCCGGCAGGTCCCCCTGGGGAATGGTGCATGTCGGGGATTTGTGTTGGTCCCATCTGCTGACGGGTTGGGCTCTCAGCACGTCGTCAGCCTTGGTGGCTGGATGTCCATGTTGCTAAAGCTGTGAATGACCTCCAGCCCTGTCACCACGGCCACTTTGTTCCCAAGCCCACTGGGTGCTGGTGGGGGGCTGGGGAAAGCGGCGGACTGGAGTCCTCAGCTCAGGCTGCCCGGCCCTCCCGATTGTTAAAATCCTCCTCTGTCCTGGGCACCCTTTGCTGAGCATTCACATCGAACACAAATCTTCGCGTGTTTTGCCCATTCAAAGAGAACTATTCTCGTACCTCTTCCCCAAATATCATTTCAACCAATTTTCCAATTGTGTTCTTTCCAAGTCCCTGACCATCCAGCCAAATAAATCACTGGCCTCAGACTAGGAACTGATACACAGTAGGTCTTCACTTAATGCTGTCGATAGGTTCCCGGAAACTGCAACTTTAAACAAAATGATGTATAATGAAACCATTTTTCCTCTAAGTTAATTGATACAAATAAGACTTAAGTTCCCACAGCATATTTCTGGTCACAAAAGCATCACCAAACTTCTAAATGAAGACCCAAAACATTTCTACTATTAAACACTGAAATAAATGTGAGCTCTGCATACATTTGAGAAACATGAATAGAATCAAGCAGGGAAATGCTCTGCGGTCTGCTCGGTCCAGCCCAGGCCCTCGGGCAGCGGGGCCTCTCCCTGCAGCTCTGGGAGTGAAGTGGGCCCCCACCCTGCACGGGCCCTGCTTCCACAGCAGGGCCACTCGCACATCCACACCCACGCAGACTGGGACCACACAGAGACGCCGGTCGCCTGAGGTGCACGTCCTTGGGGTGTGGGAGGAAACTGGCCCCCCGGAGAAAGACCATGCAGACACGGGCAGACCGTGCCAACCCCACACCGACGGCGGCCCTGGCTGGGAACTGACTTTTTCTCTCTTATCAACCTTATAACAAAGCGATGTGAACCAAGGGCCTGTCTGACCATTTCTCCTTCTGAGCAGACAGAACGGTCAGGTTCACGACCAAAAGGCCTGCCCCCTGGGAGGATGGCCCCTCCCCACGGTCCTTCAGGGGTGTCCCAGAGAGGGGCCGAGGGGCTGCAGTGGTCCACTTTGAGGTGACGCCCGCGTGTCGTGCAGAACCTGGACCGAGTCTTCTCCTCCCCTGTCTACTGACCCCAGGGCACTCCCCATGACGCCACAGAGAGAGAAGGCAGTGTCACAGCAGTGGGGACCGTGGACAGTGGGCCACTTCTTTGTACGACTTACTTACATGCCTTTGGGGCCTGCTCAGCCCCAGTCGCCTACGTACATTGTCCGTCTGGGTGGAGTGTGGCTCTGCACGCCCAGCTTTAGGGTCAGGTGACACCCAGGTCATGGTGGGCAGCTCAGGTCGCACGGTGACTTGGCCCACGGCTGAGCACTCAGTAGCAGGCCGAGAACTATTTCTCAAAAGGAGAGCAGTTATCTGCAAAGGGTAACGGTGCTTTGCCCCCAGCTCTTAAGGGCCTGCACTGCAATTTACTTGTAGGGACCCACCAAAGGCTGCAGACAGCACCCCTGTCTGCCACGGCCACTTCAAGCACAGATGCACATGCTGGGTCGGATGACCCAAGTGGCAGGGCCGCCTGTGTGTGGCCGGACCCGCTGCAGAGCCTGCTCTTGTTCTGGGCCCCACCCAACGCCCGCAGGTTCCTGGGTCGCTCAGTAAAATGGGCTGGAGTTTCACACCTGCATGAGGAAAACGTTGCTTCCCAAACCCGAAGAGGCCCACTGGGCCTGGTGCCTGCTTTGTGATTGTAGGAGAGGCCGGATGCAACCTCACCTTTGGAGGGGCATCTGAATACGCCCCGTCCACGGGGCCCCTGGAGATTTCACTGACGTGGCAGGACCCTGAAATCTGTCAGGTTTGTTTCCCACCCTCTGACATGTAAGTAAGTGTCTTACAGACAGAGCTGCACCAGAGTGAGCTGCTATTTGCTCGCCCACTCACGGCACATTCGGCATGATGCCATCAGTGTGATGGACCGGTGTGGTGTCTTGAGGAAGAGGAAGGAGAACAAGGCCCCCGTGACCTCATCGCGGTGGAGGCCTGCAGCCATGGTAGCCCCGCGAGGTCGGGCAGTGAGGGGGAGAGCACCCTGCTCCTGGCGGGCCCTGGGGTCAGGGATGAACAGAGCAAAAGGGCGTTTGTTAAAAGTGATTGAGTGCCAGGGGATGTGTTACTTTGCTCAGGACGTGAAACCACGCCTGGCACGGCAGCTGCAGTGGGACTCACTGCCCCGGGAAGCTCACAGAGATCCTCTGTGGTTCTCAAAGCCCCGTCACTCTCCTGTCCGAGCCAGAGAGGAGAGGTGGGCGGGATCACTGTTAGGTCCTGATGGTGGCTCTGATCCCTGTGGCCCTCCCAGGAACGTGCTGTCACTTTCATTCACTGGTCTCCTAGGTGGGGGCCGTTCTGCCTCCCACGAGGCCTTTCCCACATACTATCCCTCCTGCCACTGGCCAGGGGACCAATGTGGGAATTCTGCCAGCTGCTCGGCATGTCTGTCCCAGTTACACAAGATCCAGAACTGGGGGAATCACCCAGGGTGGTGCTGGGGACCCACGGGGCCCGCTGTGAGATGGACTTGAGCCAACACTCCATCGGTCACCTGATCTCCATGACCCCTGCCCTGCCTGGGGGCACAGTGACCT